CATGACTTCTCTGGCCCCTTTCCCCGAGACCACAGAATCTTGCCTGGGAGTTAAATAATTTGACATTTAATTTTCTTGGGCTGGCCTCAGTTTCTTCATTTTAAACTCGGCAATAAATCTCAATCTCACAAGAGAAATAACCCTTACAGTGATGGATAAGCTTTTTGATCTGCTGCTAGATTTGGTTTTCTAGTATTTTATTAAGGATTTTTGCATTGATGTTCATCAGGGATATTGGCCTGAAATTCTCTTTTTTCATTGTGAATCTGCCAGGTTTTGGAATCAGGATGATGATGGCCTCATAAAATGAGTTAGGGAGGAGTCCCTCTTTTTCTGTGTTTGTAATAGTTTCAGAAGAAATGGTACCATCTCCTATTTGTACCTCCAGGAGAATTTGGCTGTGAATCCATCTGGTCCTGGGCTTTGTTTTTGTTGTTGTTGGTAGGTTATTAATTACTGGCTCAATTTCAGAACTTGTTATTGGTCTATTCAGGGATTTGACTTCTTCCTGGTTAGTCTTGGGAGGGTGTATGTGACCCAGCAATTTATCCATTGCATGTAGATTTTCTAATTTATTTGTGTAGAGGTGTTTCTAGTATTCTCTGATGGTAGTTTGTATTTCTGTGGGATAAATGGTGATCTCCCCTTTATCATTTTTTATTGTGTCTATCTGATTCTTTTCTCTTTTCTCCTTCATTAGTCTTGTTAGTGTTCTCTCTATTTTGTTAATCTTTTAAAAAAAAAAAAAAAACAACTCCTGGATTCATTGATTTTTTTGAAGGAATTTTGGGTGTCTATCTCCTTCAGTTCTGCCCTGCTCTTAGTTATTTTTTGTTTTCTGCTAGCTTTTGAATTTGTTTGCTCTTGCTTCTCTAGTTTGAATTGTGATGTTAGGGTATCAAATTTAGATCTTTCTTGCTTTCTAATGTGGGCATTTAGTGCTATAAATTTCCCTCTAAACACTGCTTTAGCTGTGTCCCAGAGATTCTGGTACATTGTCTCATTGTTCTCATTATTTCAAAGAACTTCATGATTTCTGTCTTAATTTCATTATTTACCCATAGTCATTCAGGAGCAGGTTGTTCAGTTTCCATGTAGTCATGTGGTTTTGAGTGAGTTTCTAAATCCTGAGTTCTAATTTGACTGCACTGTGGTCTCAGAGGCTGTTTGTTATGATTTCTGTTCTTTTGCATTTGCTGAGGAGTGTTTTACTTCCAATTATGCAGTTGATTTTGGAATAAGTAAGATATGGTGCTGAGAAGAATATGTCTTCTGTTGATTTGGGGTGGAGAGTTCTGTACATATCTATTAGGTCTGCTTGGTCCAGAGCTGAGTTCAAGTGCTGAATATTCTGTTAATTTTCTGTCTCATTGATCTGTCTAATATTGACAGTGGGGTGTTAAAGTCTCCTTCTATTATTGTGTGGGAGTCTAAGTCTCTTTGTAGGTCTTTGAGAACTTGTTTTATGAATCTGGGTGCTCCTATATTGGGTGCATATATATTTAGGATAGTTAGCTCTAATTGTTGCATTGATCCCTTTACCATTATGGAATGCCCTTCTTTGTATTTTTTTTATCTTTGCTGGTTTAAAGTCTGTTTTATCAGAGACTAGGATTGCAACCCCTAGTCTCTCTCTCTTTTTTTTTTTTTGCTTTCCATTTGCTTGGTAAATATTCCTCCATCCAACTTGTCAGTGTGTGTCTTTTAATTGGGGCATTTAGCCCACTTATATTTAAGGTCAATATTGTTATGTGTGAATTTGATCCTGTCATAATCATGATGCTAGCTGTTCATTTTGCACATTAGTTAATGCAGTTTCTTCATAGTGTTGCTGGTCTTTATATTTTAGTGTCTTTTTGCAGTGGCTGGTACTTGTTTTTCCTTTCCATACTTAATGCTTCCTTCAGGAGCTCTTGTAAGGCAGGCCTGATGGTGCAGAATCCCTCAGTATTTACTTGTCTGTGAAGGATTTTATTTCTCCTTCACTTATGAAACTTAGTTTGGCTGGATATGAAATTCTGGGTTGAAAACTCTTTTTGTTAAGAACATTGACTAGTGGGCCCCACTCTCTTCTGACTTGTAGGATTTCTGCAGAGAGATCCACTGTGAGTCTGATGGGCTTCTCTTTGTAGGTAACTTGACCTGTCTCTCTGGTTGCCCTTAACATATTTTCCTTCATTTCAACCTTGGAGAATGTAATAATGTGTCTTGGAGTTGCTCTTCTTGAGGAGTAACTTATTGGTGTTCTATGTATTTCCTGAATTTGAATGTTGGCCTATCTTGCTAGATTGGGATAACACCCTGAAGTGTGTTTTCATACTTGGTTCCATTCTCCCCATCACTTTCAGGGACCCCAATCAATCACAGGTTTGGTCTTTTCACATAATCCCATATTTCTTGGAGGTTTTGTTTATTCCTTTTCATTCTTTTTTTCCCTAATCTTGTCTTAACACCTTATTTCATTAAGTTGATCTTCAGTCCCTGATATTCTTTCTTCCACTTGATCAATTCAACTATTGATACTTGTGTATGCTTCATGAAGTTCCCGTGCTGTGTTTTTCAGCTTCATCAGGTCATTTCTGTTCTTCTCTAAACTGATTATTCTAGTTAGCAGTTCCTGTAACCTAAGTTCAAGGTTCTTAGCTTCTTTGCATTGGGTTAGAACATGCTCCTTTAATCAGAGGAGTGTGTTATTACCCACTTTCTGAAGCCTGCTTCTGTCAATTCATCAAACTCATTCTCTGTCCAGTTTTGTGCCCTTAGCTGGAGAGGAGTTGCAATGATTTAGAGAAGAAGAGGCCTTCTGGTTTTTGGAATTTTCCAGCATTTTTGCACTGGTTTTACCTTATCATCATGGATTTATCTATCTTTGGTTTTTGAGGCTGATGACCTTTGGATGGGGCTTGTGGGGGGAGGGGTTGTTGATGTCGTTGTTATTGTTGCTTTCTGGTTGTTAGTTTTTTTCTAACAGGTCCCTCTTCTGCTGGTCTGCTGCCGTTTGCTGGAGGTCCGCTTCAGACTCTATTTGCCTGAATATAACCAGTGGAGGCTACAGAATAGCAAAGGTTTCTGCCTGCTTCTTCTTCTGGGAGCTTTGTCCCAGAGGGGCACCCACCAGATGCCAGCCAGAGCTCTCCTGTATGAGGTGTCTGATGATCTCTGTTGGGAGGTCTCTTCTAGTCAGGAGGCACGGGGGTCAGAGACTCACTTGAGGAGGCAATCTGTCCCTTAGCAGACAGAGCTTGAGTGCTGTTCTGGGAAAACCCTCTTTGTCAGGATCCACTGCTCTCTTCAGAACTGGCAGGCAGGTCTTCTGAAGGTGAGCCTACAGCTTCCCCTTCCTCCAGGTGCTCTGTCCCAGGGAGATAGGAGTTTTATCTATAAGGCCCTGACTAGAGCTGCTGCCTTTCTTTCAGAGATGTCCTGCTCAGTGAGAGGAATCCAGAGAGGCAGTCTGGCTGCAGCTACTTTGCTGTGCTGTGTTGAGTTCCACCCAGTCCTTAACACTGTGAGGGGAAAACCTCCTACTCAAGCCTCATTTTGGATGTTTCTCCCCAAACCAAGCTCGATAGTCCAGGTCAACTTCAGACTGCTGCATTGGAAGCGAGAATTTCAAGCCATTACTTCTTAACTTGGTGGGCTTGGTGGGAGTGGGACCCACTGAGTGAGACCACTTGGCTCCCTGGTCTCAGACGCCTTTCCAGGTCAGTGAACATTTCTGTCTTGCTGGGGTTCCAGGTGCCACAGGGGTATGAAAACAAAAACTCCTACAGCTAGCTTGGGGTCTGCCCAAACAGCTACCTAGCTTCGTGCTAGAAACCCAGTGCCCTGGTGGTGTAGGCACCTGAGGGAATCTTCTGGTCTGCAGATTGCAAAAACCATGGGAGAAGCATAGTATCTGGGCCAGCTAGCACAGTCCCTCACCACTTCCCTTGGCTGGGAACAGGAGGCCCCCAGCTCCTTGCACTTCCCAGGTGAAGTGATGCCCCACCCTGCTTCTGCTCACCCTCCTTGGGCGCACCCACTGTCTAACCAGTTCCAATGAGATGAACAGTGTACCTCAGTTGGAAATGCATAAGTCACCCACCTTCTGCACTGGTCTTGCTGGGAGCAGCAGACCGGAGCTCTTCCTATTCAGCCATCTTGCCAGATCTCCCAAAGAAAGAATTTATAATTTGACTTTGGAAAGTTTGTCAAATATCAAATGTTTAAGTGCTTGACATTTTAAAATAGAATTTCAGGTCACCATAAGTCATTCATTTAGCCAAAATGATAACTTAAAAATTCTTGAAAGGCAAAAAATGTTACTCATTAATAAAGGGAAGACTTAGCTTTCCAAGTTTTCTGTCTTTTTCTTCTTTCTTTTTTCTGCAGTTTATTCAAAATGCAAACAAAAATCTTTCTTTTTTAAATAGTACATGAAAATCTTATTCACGAGAGAAAGCCAAAATCTCTTCCTTGCAATAGTGTACGATTGATTTCAAAGCCTACCCAATCTGAGTCCATTTGACCACAAGATAAGATACCATACATAAACCTTTTGTAACCCTTTACAAATTTTGGTTAAAGAGCAGATCAGTGCTCTAAGAAAAACCTGTTGTGCTTTTATTCCAATGTTCAATTTATGGAAAAACTGAATAATACCCCTTTAACTTAAGTCAATAGGTTCACACACAGAATTTCTTTTACAAGATTAATTTTTCAAAACTTGCTCAAAACTTTCAGCTTCATCTTACCTAACTTAAACAAATTCTTTAACCCTTTGATCTGGGCAAGGGTTAATTCCCACATTCCCATGCCGTCTTGTAATCTTTTACCAAAAGTACATTTCCCTTCCCTTATACACTTTGCATGTAAAATTTTTCTTATTTCCCAAAGACTACTTAAGTCACATGAACTAAAAGACATTACATTTTTTACTTTTCTGACAAAATATTTGACTTAAGAACTTATCATTTTTAAACCAATTAATCAAAGCTCTTTCATATTACACACACAACACATATACATACACAGACAGAAGATCCAGTGCTTTAAGATTTTTCATTTGCCAGTTTATTTTTATTTTTATTTTTGACACAGCATCTCGTACTGTCGCTTGGGCTGGAGGGCACTGGCGCTATCTCTGCTACCTGAAACTTCCGCCTCCTGGGTTAAAGTGACTCTCCTGCCTCAGCCTCCTGAGTAGCTGGGATTACAGGTACCCACAACCATAGCCAGCTAATTTTTTGTATTTTTATTAGAGATGGGGTTCACCATGTTAGCCAGACTGGTCTCAAACTCCTGATCTCATGATTCACTCGCCTCAGCCTCCCAAAGTGCTGGGATTACAGGCATCAGCCACCTTGCCTGCGTTATTTGCCAGTTTCTTAATTGAATTACTGGCTTCAGTGTGAAACCCTTGGAGGAAAAGAGCCAGAAAAGCATGCAGTTTCTATGATCTAATTAGCAGGCACAACAGGAATGCAAAACCATATCCCCAAAATTAAGGGTTTCGTTCCTGGATCCTGGATCCGCCAAAGAGAAATGCTGCGGAACTACAGTGTAGTGATTTTACCATGCATTTCATTGCAAAGCAACCCAGAGCCAATAAGCCCGTTCTATGGTTAGTCCATCCTCCATGGAAGTCTTATCTCTCAGTGGGGAGTGGGGGATGGAGACATCTCCATAGCTTCCAGGTGGCCAACAGCATGCTTCTCTGATCCAAACATGTAAAGAGCTGAGCATGCACCCATAACTGCCATTAGCTATCCCCCAAACTATATGTATTTCCTACCTAGTTATTAGACACCATAGCTCTATCATAATGTGAAGTAATTTCTGATACCCCCAAATGTCAAAACCATCAGAACAGAACAGAGCCTCAGATTTTCAGAGGGCTCTATCCATTTTTAATTAAGCTGACTCTTAACCATAGCACTCTTTAAAGAAAAATAAATCCTTTCAGATCTCCTTATTATTCATAGACTTTAGCCATGCCAAACTGCCAATATTTCCGATTTTTAAACTTTACCAAAGGTTACCTACCAGGTGAAACCAGTAAGTCTGAACTAAGGTTATGACTTAACCATGCATGTACAAGGTCAAGCTCCCAAGGACATGAAACAAGATGAGAGGGAAGCTTCATCCAGTTCTTTCCATTTGTTTCAGGGACCTCTGACTAGGAGTTTTAACATGTGGTCTCTGGGCAAGATGGTCACCCTGAGTAACAGAAACGATAAGAAAGAGAAAGGAGAGAAAGAGAGAGAAAAGCATTACCTGTGGTGAGGTGGGGAAGGCAAGTAGCTCAGGGAGGCCCGAGAAAGACCCACTCATTGCAGCAACATCGAAAAGTTCAGGTAGCTGCTTGTTAGTCGTGAAGGGATCTTTTCCAGCAGTTCCATCAGCTTTCAAGTTTCCCCTTTTGAAGAAAAAGAAGCTCCCTGTGTCCCATGATCTGGCACATGCCTAATCCTGTCACCCATAGCTGTCAGCAGATTGCAGGGAAATTAACCCAAAGGGAATAATGGTTAACACCCCATAATGCCAAATCCATTTTTAACCAAGAGGGACTTTACCGAAAGGGGTTTCTAATCCTCTAAATCTTAGGAAGGACTGGAACCTTCCTAAGTTGGGCCTTGAACCCAAGTTTGGTTAAGCATCCTTGCCTTTTATTAAGAGGGGCCTTTAACCCACTCTGTCTCAGGAGAGATTCTAACTTCACTAAGTTGGGCCTGTAACCCAATCCCAACCTCTACCCAGGTGCCCCACCACTTACCCAAAGTTGGCCAATCGGTGCCCAAGTCTATTTCCTTTGGGACGAGGCTCTCCTCAGTATCGTCCCTTCATGGTTGCCGGGAAGACATTACTGGAAAAGGGTCCCAATCAGATCCCAAGAGAACGTTCTCGGATCTTATGCAAGAAAGAATTCTAGGTGAATCCATAGAGTAAAGTGAAAGCAAGTTTATTAAGAAAGTAAAGAAATTAAAGAATGGCTACTCCATAGGCAGAGCAGTGGGCTTACATTTTAGAGGAAAGGAAACAGATAATGAGCAAGCAATATTCAATGCTGCAAGGAGATAAAACACGAGTGAAGAGTTGTAATGGAAATGTGTTTTTGCCACCCAGTGTTCTTTCACCTTATTTTTATTACAGCACCCTCATTTCCTTTAGAGAGCTTCCTTCCCCGCTGTGCACATTGCTGGTAGTCTACTGGGACTAAGGATCTTAAGCAGAGGTACAAGAAGGGAAACAGACCTGAAGCTCATTCATTCTAAAAACAGGGTCCTGAAAAGGTTGTTGAGTAGTGCTGCTACCTGGACCCCTATAGCTGTCCTGGTTTTAGTCTTTCATCTGATCCTTGTTCTCCAGGTTTCCTGATGATCCCTGCTCTGTTTCTTTCTTATTACTTCCTTTTCTGTTTGAGGCAGTCATAGTAGGTTTCAATTGCTAGAAAACAAAGTCATCTAACAGATACATGCACCTGCTGTTCTTTCAGTGAGATTATGATTCATTGAACAGTGTATAAGAGGAGAAGAAATAGAGACAAGTGACAAGGAGAAAGCTAGTCTAATATATTCATAGTGATGTAATCTGTGAGGTGGTGTGGTTTTCTTCCACAGTGCTTAGCAGCATTGAGAAGGCCAGTAAGTATAGCCCAGGGCTAAGGTTTTGCCTGCAAAATTCTGAGTCAGGTTAGTCTTCTACAAGGGGATAGAAGGTGTTGTTTGGGGACGGTGGATGGGAAATGGTTTGGAAGCAACATAGAGAAGGAGAAGGGATATGAAATGAGCAGCAGATCCTTGGGAGGGCTCAGGATGCATCCAGGTTCCCATTAAATCTGGACAGTTTGAATCCTGTTAGACTCTACTCAGGTTTTTGCTTTACCTAATGGTTTTCTGAATTTCTCCTTCACACCATGATGTGGGTGATACATGGATCTCATAGCCTTTATCTTATCCTGTATCTTATCTTAAATTTTTTTTTAAGAGACAGGGTCTCACTGTGATAGCCTGGCTGGATTGCAGGGGCACAATCTCAGCTCACTCCAGCCTCTATCTCTTGGGCTCAAACGATCCTCCCACCTTAGCCTCCTAAGTAGCTGGGACTACAGGCACACACCATCATACCTGGCTAAATTTTATATTTTTAATAGAGACAAGGTTTTGCCATGTTTCCCAGGCTGGTCTTGAACTCCTGGATTCAAGTGGTCCTCCTGCCTTGGCTTTTTAACGTGCTGGGATTACAGGCATGAACCACCATGTCCAGCCTTATCATGTATCTTATCCTATTTCCCTCTCTGCAGATGACCATCTCTTGTTATCCAGTGGAAAGCTTGCCCACTGTATGGCCTTCAGCAAGTTGCTTAACCCTCTAAGCCTCACTTTCCTGACTGGTTAAATGGAAGCCCAAGGTAGGTACCTACCCCAGAGAACTGTTGCAATCACATAAGAAAATGCATGCAAATCACTTAGCAGAGCCCATGCCTGATACACAGAAGATGGTCACTTCACCTCAGCTACTATTAATGAGCTTCTCTGTTGGGGGCTTTGTGATGTAAGAGCCAACTGGCAATTCTGTAATACTCAAGGTCTTTACTCGAGATCATCTCTACTGTTTACTGAGGTCTTCATAGCACTAATAATGAACATTTTGTTTATCTCATGTAAGGGGGTGGGGAAGGAGTCTGTGAGCATCTGACTCACCCAGTTATCTTTTGTCAGCAAACACTGGTCCCCAGCATCCTATCAGCACAGCTTGTGTCCTTCTTACTATTTATCTTCACCTCTTTTAATGGAGATTAGTTTTAGGTCTTCTTTAAATCCACCTTGGATTTGATAGCAGGTACGGAAACGCAGTCACCTCGATATGGACCATTTCCACTCAGCTATTTTAGTCCCTGGCTTGTGGGACTTGGAGGTGAGTGTTGTGGGAGGCATTACTGTGACCACAGCAGCTATATCCCCTCCCTCTAATTGTGTTTTCCTAATTAAATGGCAAATTCTAATTGTTTCTTCCTCTTGAAATGAAGATCTTAGATTTTATAGTCAAGTTCCTAGGCTCACTTTTTATCTTAACTGTTTTTAAAACCTTGCCACAATTAAGTAACCAAGTGGACTTTACACCATAGATAACTTTTGGATACATGATTACCTAATAGTAGATGTATAATTATTACAAAAGGGACAAGAATAATACACTTCCAGGTCACTAGACAAAATGAAATGTGTCCTCTCCTTGTCACCAGCCACAGTGTTTTTCATTTCCATTAAATCTCTAAAATGGAAGAAATTCCATCTGACTTCTATTGACTTAACAGGAGATTAAGAAGATTAATTTAACACTCTTAGACAAAACAAAAATATTATAGTATACATTTTGGCAAGCAAAAGTACCATGTTAATAATATTGTTATTTACAGCATAGGTGTTTCACTTGCTCTGAGGAAGAATGAGTTGAACCATCCACTCTGTCACAGGGCCTCTCCACCCATGGCCCAGCTGCTCAACTTTGAGGCTAATTTGGGAGAAAATAAGAGTTGCACTTAGTTAATGAGGATCAGATTTTAAATACCTTCTTAAGACTTTTCCCCCTTTTCTGAGTTTGTGTTTTTAAAGGAATAGACTAAGAAATCTTATTTATTTATCATCCCTAGGTACTTGGCCTTGAAAACTGGATTATTATTACTATTATTTAATTTTTTTTGGTAGAGTCAGGGTCTTGATATGTTGCCCAGGCTGGTCTTGAACTTCTGGCCTCAGGCAATCTCCCTTCTCAGCCTCTGAAAGTGTTGGGATTGTAGACATTAGCCACGGTGCCCAGATGATAACTGTATTATTAAGGGAATTGGGTATCAGTCATTTATTCAACCTATATTTCTTGAGAACTGCCCATGTTACAGACACAATTCTTGATTCTGGAGTTCCAGCAGCAAACAGGGCAGACAAGATTCCTTTCCTGATAGAAAAGGGTAAGAAGTAGAAAACAGACAAGAAAATAAATAAACAAACCAGAAAATATCAGGCCAGGTGTACTAGGTATAGATTTTGCTTAAAAGCAACAGAAACTGACTTCAACAAAAGGCAAAAGAAGGATTTTACTGGGAAGGTAGAATTGTTCATGGAATCAAAGAAAATGCTGAAGAACCAAGATTTGGAACTTCCAAAAACCAGAATAACTTTGAAGATCTAGGAAACTAGAAGTGACTGACTATTTTAGCACCACGGTGGAATCAGTGATCTCCTACTAGTACTTCCTTCTGGGTCAGGATGACAGAGAGAGAAAGAGTGAGCAGTTGGTTGGTCTGGCTTCTGTCATTCGTCCAACTCTTGGCGAGGGTAAGACATACCATGTGCATGAACAGTTTCTCTATCTCCATCTCCAGTGGTGAGAGTGGTAATTCTCCAAAGCCAAATTGTTTCACAGTTGCAGAAGTAGAATAAATGGATACTGAGCAGTCAACAAGGATACATGTTCCCTGATTTTAAGGTAGTTTACATGGAAGAGGCCTTGGGGTTTTAGCTTTTGCAGGTGTTCCAAAAATGGGTGTGATTTGGTTTGCATTAATTAAATTCACCTGGGTTTCAATAAAACGTGAAAAACCTGTAGTTCCCTATAGTGGCAAGAATAGGATTGAGAATTTAAATTTAGCCATTTTGAGAAGGACATTGGTAAATTAAAATTTATCAAGAATAATCAGGCTGGTGAAGGACCTGGAAAACTTCATCTCTGAGGGTAAAGAAGCTGCTTTAAATACTTTGGAGCCCCTAAGAGAAATATTAGCTGTCTCACTATCGTCAGGTATTCTAAACAAGTTAAATAGTAAGTTTCATTCCCTTTTTTTATATAATTTATCATAGAATCTTATTATGTCCAAGTCTTCATTGTAGAAATAACTTTAAAATAGGTATTCCAAACTCTGAAAATTTGCTATTTCTGTGTTTTTGTTTATTCTTCTATAAAATGAATTTGAACCAGATCACCTTTGGAGTCTCTCCTATTTTCAAAATTCTGGGTTCTACAAATCCTATCACTTTTACCAATCTGTTACAAAACAACTATGCTATAACTAACAATATTATTAACATGGAACTTTTGCTTGCCAAAATGTATACTATAATATTTTTGTTTTGTCTAAGAGTGTTAAATTAATCTTCCTAACCTCCTGTTAAGTCAATAGAAGTCAGATGGAATTTCTTCCATTTTAGAGATTTAATGGAAATGAAAAACACTGTGGCTGGTGACAAGGAGAGGACACATTTCATTTTGTCTAGTGACCTGGAAGTGTATTATTCTTGTCCCTTTTGTAATAATTATACATCTACTATTAGGTAATCATGTATCCAAAAGTTATCTATGGTGTAAAGTCCACTTGGTTACTTAGTTGTGGCAAGGTTTTAAAAACGGTTAAGATAAAAAGTGAGCCTAGGAACTTGACTATAAAATCTAAGATCTTCATTTCAAGAGGAAGAAACAATTAGAATTTGCCATTTAATTAGGAAAACACAATTAGAGGGATGCAGCAGCTATTCTCCTGGCGAATATGAAAGCTCAGCACAAAGTAAACCCTTACGTGAAATGTAGTCGTGGCTAATTAGCTGCAGTATGTGGGCTGGAAAAAGTGCCTTGTTCAGGGCTAGACAATGAACTCCTCAGGGGCCAGAGATCAATGATCATTTAGGAAGCAAATGCTTAGAATCACATGGCTTAGAATATGCTCGTCTGTTGCCATGTTTCACAATACATAGTGCATTCCCTATGTTTTCTCTTCACATGTGATATGCAATTGCTAAGAAACATCATATGTTTGGCCTTATTAATGAAGATTATTGATATGCTAACCCTGAACTGAAACCAAAGCAAAGCTGATTGATCTCTGGAAACAAGCTGAGTGAACTCCCAAGGTGCTGGGCCACTAAGTAGAGTTGCTAGGGACAGTAGGTCTCCTCTGCCGACTCCTGACCTTGAGTATAAAAACTACAAGCTCAGGTTGCAGACCACACGTTCAGAAAAGAATGATCTCTGAAAACAGCACAGGATAAAACTCCAGAGTCTTGGGTCTTTTAGTTTTGGCCCTGCCACTATGAGCTGCGTGACTTTCTGTAAGATTCTTTATATGTATATATAAATATAAATATATATATTTATTTAAATATAGAGATGGGGTGTCACTATGTTGACCAGGCTGGTCTCGAACTCCTGACCTCAGGTGATCCACCCATTTCGGCCTCCCAGAATGCTGGAATTACAGGCATGAGCCATCGCGCCTGGCCAAGATTCTTTACTTCTCTGGGCTTTATGTATTTTACCTGTAAAGAGCATGATGAAGTCCCTCTCTAAAGGTGTTATAAAGATATCACAGATTAGGAGATGGGAAACTATACAGATACTATGTGAAGCTGGCATTCTTTTTGAGGGCAAATCTGCAAACAAATAAAGAGCTTTTTCCTATCCCAGCCACTCAATGACTGACTGACTTAAGTAAGTCCTGCTTGGAAACAGGCCCTGCCCTGGTTCATTCTTGGTGTCATGAGTAGGCACCCTGCCATCAGCCAATAGGTTGTCAAAACATTTATTCTCATTTCAACATCTGAGTGTTTACACATGCTAGCAATTGTTGTAGGAGCTGCAGATAGTCAAGAACAAAAAAAACTCCCCCCACAAGTCCTGCTCCAATGGACATTCTCTTTGTTATTATTACTAGTAGTACTAGTAGCATTTTTGTAGAGACAAGATCTTGCTATGTTTACCAGGCTGATCTGGAACTCCTGACCTCGAGTGATCCTCTTGCCTTGGCCTCCCAAAATGCTGGGATTACAGGCATGAGCCAAGGTGCCTGGCCAGACAGACCAGTCAGAGCAGATAGACCAAAAACAACCAAATAAATACATAAGACATCAGGAACTGGTGATACACGCTGTGAGGAAAAATAAAGCTGGTTAAAGGGTGAGACATGCCTGGAGGGGATTGTTAATTTAGCTGGAGAAAGTCTCCCTGATTTGAATGAAGGGAGGGAGGGACCCTCATAGTCTGTGGGGAAAAGCAGTCCAGGGAAGTGCACAGTTAGGGGCCCCAGGGGAGAGCAAAATCCAGTGTTCCAGGAAGGCAGTGGAGATGGTGGAGATCGGTGTGGGCAGAGCCAGCAGGCAGAGAGGAGATTCTGTTCCTGATGGTAGGGACATCCCGGGGTGTAACAACCCCTTTTCCTCCAGGCAGTGGAAAGCAACCAGGTGACAGCCCAGTCTGGGCTTAGGTGTGTACCAGCTGGTTGGCATTGGTTGGGCTCAGAGAATAACAACACTCTGGACAGGTGTGTGGCGATGCACGCTGGCAGGGAGGGCGCTCTCCCCCCAACACTTGGGCTTTAAGGCTGCGTGGCCACCATCCTGAAATTCTCCACACATTTTCCTTGGCTTGTGTTCTGTAAGTGAAGTCCGGGCAGCGGAACTGGTTCCCCAGGGCCTAGGGGAACATGGCTCCTGTGAGCTCCTGCCTCCTGCCTCCTGCCTCCTGCCTCCCGGAGTTGGGTCTGGGTCGCCTGTTCCTGCTCCTGCTCAGAGCTGCAGCTGCCCCTCATCCTGACAGGCCTGACACGGGGTCTCTGTCGCTTTCCACCCAACGGGTCCAGGCTCGGTGTCCCTGCCGCCCTCCACCAGACGGGCAAGGCAGGGTGGGGCGGGGCCGGGCATGACCCTCTGCAGGCCGAGCCGCAGGGCGGGCCCCTGGTTCCCTGAGGGTCCGTGCCCAACCTGCCAGCATCTCTGTGCCTGAGGGAGTGTGACATTAAATAGCAAACAAAACGCCTGGACAGGTCAAGAGAGACTGCAGAAGAAACGCTTTTTTCCTCCTTTTTTAACAAGGGACCCGCATTTTCATTTTATGATGGCCCCTGCGTGATCTTGGCCAGGAATGGTGTCAGCCACCCCTCGGCCGCTGCTTTCTCTGCGTGGACTTCCGGTGAAGCCGGCTTTTAGAGCGGGTGACTACCCTTCTACTTTCCCGCGGGGCCTGTTGCCCTCTGCTGGGCAAAGCAGGCATTAGCTCTATCTCAAAATCTGGGAAGAAAATGCTCCCAATTCCAGTTTCAAAGCCCAATTTGAGACAATGGTTTGATCATCAATTT